TACACAACAACAGTATAAATCATTGTATTATTATGATGGACATGTTTTAATTTAATTAAATAAATAAATTATTTTTTATAAAGAAAATAGAGAAATATTTTTAATTCAACGATACATTTTAATTAAATAAAATAAATAATGTGATTGATTAATTTTAGAAGTTAGATTTAATTTTTACATGAATTAATGGTGTATAAAACTTAAAATAACGTTGGTATACATTAATTTTGACAATTTATAATACATAAAGGTAAAGCAACTATACATTAACATTATAAGTTATTGCATTAATAAAATAATTTTAATTTAATTAAGTAATGATTAACAATAAAAAAAAGTTTATAAAATATATTTGATAAATTAATAAAATAATTATTTAATTAATTAAACTTATATAATGATAAATTTATATAGAACAAGACCCAAAGTAACCTAGGTACACATATTTTATTAATTTAGATAGAGAAACTATATATTAACATTATAATTTGATGTAGGTTTTGTTAATCTTAGCCCTTAGGACTTAGGATTAGCAATTAATAATAGTAAAATTTTAATAAAAAAAGAAATATTTATTGTATTTTTATAACTTTAATACAATAACTGTGTACTTTTTTTAAAATAATTTTTTATTTGTGAATGCTTAAACTCAGCTTTAAGAGCTGAGGTTAACAAAACTCTTTTATATATATGTTTTATTGCTAAAATTTTATTTATCAACTAATAAAATATAAAAATAAAGATAATACTGACACAAAAATAAATAACTAAGACAAAAATAGTGAAATAACGTAAAATCATAAGAAAGTTAAGCGTGAATATTATTTCTATCTCACTGATATCAATAATATTATTATAAGATAAAAGAGAATTAAAAATAATAATATCAAACCAAAGAAAAAAAATTAATGTCAAAATAAGAAAAATATATATCATTTTTTTTAGTTTATTACGATTCAATAGAAAGAGGTAACTTTTCAATCGTTAGATTATTTAATTTGTACGGTTGAGATTTGGTGTAAGTTTTTTAAATTTACACATAGTGTCAATAAATCCTATCCTATATATATATGGTAAGAAAATGGCGTAGAGCCTATAAAAAAAAATTGCTCAGAGAATCATAACCAATTGAAGGTTGAATTGTTAGTACAATTATTGTGTCAAATGTGCACATCAACTTTTGAAATTTTCAAAATGAAGGTTTGCTAAGTAAAAAAAATAAATTGACATAATCATTAGTTTTGTTTTGTTTTTTTAAATCAAGTATAGTATATAAAAAAAACACAAAGCTTGAAGCAGTATAAACACCATGGAACCGATGCAATTTAGAGGAAGCAAAAATACTTACACTTAAAGGAGATACAAGTTGTGCAACATGAGTTCGAACAATCATACCTTAATGATGTAATAGTGATTTAACCTTCGCCAAAGATTTTTGTGCTTGAAGATCCTCTTTATATCTTTTATCCCTCTATCTCTATTTGTTTTGCATATTTTTTATCTCTGTTTTTAATGCTCCTAAGTCTCTCCCTCTTTTTCCTTAGTTCTTCTCTTTTTCTTTTTTTTAAGTTTTTCCTCCCCCTCTCAAGTTCTTCCTTTTTTTTTTCTTTTTATACCTCCCTCTTTTCTTTGCTCTTTCTCCCTGAATCTCGGTTTATGTCCCCCTTCTTTTTTTTTTTTTCTTTTTTTTATGTCCTTTAGGATTAGAAAAAGCTAAATTTATGCTTTGATTTCCTTTTTATGCTTCAAGTTGGTTATAATTTTTTTAGGGAGAGGTAATGCTAAGCTTTCTATCTTTAAAATCAAATATATTTTTCTAAATTTGCAAAGACTAATTTTTATTTTTCTTAAAATGAAATTATTTCTTTCCTATTTTTATAAAATAAGACAAACTATAAAATAAATTAGGACTTTTATTATTATTATTATTATGAAAATTGGTATTCATACCATATGTGATTTATATTGCTCTCGATTGATAAATAAGTCATAAGAGATTTTTGTTTTTAGGTAAAATATAATAATAATTTTTTTTTTTTGGGATTAAATAAATATTTTTAAAATTAATAAATTTATACAATTAATTTGAGATAATCATTTTAAAATAAATGTTATAAGGTACTAATACCTTCCTTACACATAAATGACTCTCGAACATGTTTTGGATTTCATAAATAAATATTTTTTGTCTCGTTTTACCTTATGATCCATTAATTATATGTGGTAAGGTCGCCTGCACTATAATTAATTATAGTATTTAAGCATTGTTAATTTCGAATATACAAATACAACACAATAAAGTAATTATCAATCAAGAAAAGAAACTAAAATTATCATTAATCACAAAGAACACTGAATTATGCAAAAGATCCATCATAGCCCTAGAAATTTAGGTAGATATAATGTAATAGAAAATTAAAATAATAATGAACCAATCCATAATCACTCAAAGAGTAAATGAAAATTAGAGGAGTCCTCAATGAAAAAGAAATGAAGAGAGTTCTTGATCTCAAAATTTTGCTCCCAAAGCTCCAAAAGTTATCAACCACTGACCAAAACCAAGATATCAAAGTCATATTCCTCAAGGTTCCTTAAATAAAGTTTAGAATCTATAAGAGATAATGATTTTTGTCTCTAAGGGATATGTTTTATCTCTAATAAAGATATGACATATCAAGAGAGAAAGACATGATTTAGCAAATTTAAAATTCAAATTCTCTCTTTGCAGGTCCCTTAAAAATCTTTAAGTTGGATGCACCAGAAGAGGAGCACGGCCTTGTACACCAATATGCATGGCCATGCATATGACTTGAAGCATGAACATGTTTATCCTATTTTTCTTTTTATTAATTCATGCCTGAAACACCTCAATAATCCATCAAAGCTCTTAACATTTTAAACTGCAATCATCAATGAAATAATTAGTGTAAAACTCATTCAAATAAGGATCAAGTACATAAAAATATATTATAAAAACATGCCACAATACAAAACAAGTTGAAAGTTGTGAGCTTGTAATTTTTATCTATAAAACTAACTAAAAACTATGAATTTATAATTGAAAGTTTAAGAATTTGTAATGCTTATCCAAACATGCACTTAAAGGTATGCACCTTCCTTATTGGTATAAGGCATAGGTTTACAAGAAGGTTGCTTTCTAAAAGTTTAGCATAGGAGTGCTTTCAAGTGACAAATATGATAACACGAAATATTACTTTGGCAGGAGATAGCTTGTTTTGAACCACTCTAGTTAAGATTAGTGGAGTATTGTATTTCTTGCAAATGAAGAATAAAATATTCCTTATTAGTATGACTCTTAAGTCAAGATTGATTTTCAATATTTGAAGACATCTTTTTTTATGAATTGTGAATTGACAAGGGTGTTCTAGTTTGGACATTCTATGGTTTATATGTTATGGCACTTGCTTCTCATTTCCTGATAACCATATCATTTCTTATTTTAAGACTTTGGATGACTTGAAAACATTTCTATCTAAATTTAGCAAGCTGCTTATCAAATAAAAATATCTACACTTAGATGTTTTCTTCTCAATTTTAGGTATCATTTATGTCACCAAGACCACTTGAAAAAATAGTCTTAAATATTCAACTTAATTAGATTTAATAGTAAATAATCTTTTAAGCAAATGAGGTAAATACATACCCTACTACTAGGATACGGGTCCTCTCCAGCTGTGACAAGAACTGAACATCTAGTTTCATTTTTCTTTAAATAAAAATAAAAATAGAGAAAAAGAAACAAAAAATTTTATGCAAAATTTGCTTGAACAAATTTTGTATCTTCTCTCTCAACTTTTTGCTTTTCCTTTCTCCATGCCTAATACTCTCTCTCAAACTTCCATATTCAACCCTCCTCCCCCATACCCAACTTCTATCTTCCTCTCTCAATTCTTTTTCCCTCCCACCCCATACTCAACTCCCCTTTTCCTCTCCCCACTCTCACTCTCACTCTCGTACCGCCCGTTTTTTCCATCCCCACCCATCCCTTGTCCCCTTTTTCCCCGCACCTAGCTCTCCTCTCCTCTCTCTCTCATGAGCAACATGACTTATCTATCTTTAGTTAAGTAAGTCTATTATCGTTTAAGCAAAAATATAATTAGATTTCTTGTCACAATAGGAGAGGATCTAGATCTTTACTACCGTTTCCACCATCATCACTAAAAACTATAACTATTACTACTATCATCTTTCTTATCGTATTGTTATTATTACAATTATTTTTTCATCGATGTTATAAATGTTATCAAAATTACTAATATAATTATTATTCTTATTTAAATAACTATGACTGTTCTCTTTAATAATTTATTTATTTATTCTTTAAATTTTAACTAAAGATATTTTAAAATTGTATATTATATTTTTAAAAATATTTTATTTGAACCAAATAAAGAAAAACAAAATCTTAAAGGAAGTGAGAACCAAATGTAATTTATAAAAATATCTAAAAATTCCATTTTTATAAATCTCATTCCTAAGAAAATGGAATAATACCGTGGACACAAATACATTAGGAGATAAATCACAAGATCTTATAACGTCCTATTTGTATTTGTATAGGTAAGTGGCTGGAATGGAAAAGGAAGTGTAACTAGAGATACTTGGGTGAATAATTAAAGCAACTGATTGGTGGATGGATTTCCATGTTCCTACCAACGAACCGCAAAGCAGTTTTTGACGAAGTAATAACGGATCTCTGAGGATGGTTTGACATAAACCAAATGCACAATTTTGAAATTTGAAATTCGAATAACAGAGGGAGCCTCAATTGTATGGGTCCATCATCCCTTTCCTTCGCTGGCTTCACCGTCACACTCCGTCATATCCGTTAATTAACACAGCCTCCACTCCACGTCAGCGGGGTCAAGATTAACGTCCAAAATTTGAGTTTTCCCGCCCCAAAACAACACGACATTATGTTATAAATCCAAATGACATGACATCATAGTCACACATACACACACCGCATCCATCTCATCTTCAATTCTCGGAATTCAGAATCAGACATGGAAGAACCCGTTAAGGAACATCCCTCTGCTGCTTCTGCTTCTGCCTCTGGTACACCCAATTCTCTATTTTTATGTCTATCTCCATACACACACTCATATTATATACTATACGTATAATTATTTTTTAAGAGGTATAATTTTTTTTTCAAAAGTTATCTAAATGAATTATTCAAAATAAATAATTAAATTTGTTGAATTAAGTTAATTAGCGATTGAAATGGGTTGTGTTGCGATATGGTTGGTTCAGGGAACACTGCCAGGCCAAGGCTTCAGAAGTATGCGCTTCGCTCTGCCACTAAATCAAAGGAAGAGAAATCAGATACACCCGATTGCTCAAATCCTTCTGAAACCAAAAGGTGGTTTTTTTTTTTTCTTTTTTGTTTGCAACTATTAGACACGAATTGGAATCATGTAAAATTGGCTATTGTCGGTTTCCCCGTAATTTTTAGTAACTGCCACGATCGTAACACATTCATTTTCATGACATAATTGTGTATTTGAGAATCTATATGGTACTGATAGTATATATTGTTTGGCTTTGAGCAAATTTGTGAAGTAAGGAAAAGAGGAATGCATGATTTAGAAGTGGAATAAATTTACAAAATAATTTAAATTAAAATATCTTTTTCTTGAAGGACTAGGATTCACTAGTTTTATTTTCTGTATATATTTATTCTCCAAGAGGAGCATGAGAATCCCAAACTATGACTATGTTTGTTTGTTTACCTTTACAAAATTAAATACACGCAACCTCTTAACCAGTTTCTTGCATTTCAGAACACAACCCATTTAAATCGCTGATGCTTGATTCGCTCAACATACTGAAATTTTTAATAACTTTTATTAATGAATACTAAAGTTGAAGATAATGCCCCCATTTTTAATAATTTCGGTGTTAGGACTTAATGACTCTTAATAACTGTTCACTTAATTGCTTTGGTGTTGAAGACTGTCATCTTAAGGCAAACCAGCAGCTTTGATATAAATAACTGGTATAACATTTATTTATCAAATTTTTAATGTATTTTTAACGTGAATTTTACAAAAAATATTTTGTTTTTTGGTTTCATAACCATTAGTTTTAACTGTTCAAGGACACAGTTAGTAAGACTTTGTTTCTAGTATCCTAAGAAAGTCGCTTTGGTTTTTTGATCAGGGGGAGAGGTGCTTCAAGTGTAAGTAAAAGTGTGAGTGTTCTTGACTTTTCTGGCAAGGACAAGTCAGGTAGTGCCAAACCACCGAGAAGGCTTTCAATTCCTGCCAAAGCGCCTGCCACTTCAGGACCCAAGCTGGGTGGCAACATTACCCCAATCTCTGAGACTAGAACAGGGAAGAGTGCTATTGGTCAAGGCAGAAGCAAAACACCCATTTCTGATATTTCCAAGACATCTGCCCGAATAAAGTTAAATCTTCTAACTTCGGCTTCATATTGGCTAAACCAGATCAAGCTCTCTGAATCCGCTGCCAAACACTCAATTTCATTTGGTTTCTTCAAACTGGCTTTAGAGGCAGGATGTGAGGTACAATCACAACACTCAGTACACACAAGCACTTACATCTATATGGCCATCCGTGTATTTTAGGATAAATTACATTCATCCCGTGAACTTTTAAGCAATATAAGACTTGATATCCCTTCTCAATTAATATAACAACATAATATTGTGTTCCTTTTTGTTAACACAGACCTTCTTCCTTGATTTATTTAGGGAGACTTGTATAAGGTTAAGAAAGGAAGGGGTATTGAGTGCAATGTCACTTAATTTAAGGAGTATGAATGTATACCTTAATGGCAAACTCACTTATGAGCAAATACAACACAGCCTTATTTGTTTTCTCATTAACTGAACCAATATATTTTTATGATTTATTTTTCTATGTAATATCAACCATAGCCTCTCGGGTCAATGCAAGAAGGGCTAAAATCTTATGTGAGCAGACATCAGCTTGATGATGAGCTTGGAGAAACTGTGAAAGAATTGTTTGAGAGGTATGGTATCTCAGGAAACACAGAGCAGTTGCAGGTCTCTGAAACTATTTCACAGGCGGCGGAAGAGGGAACTTTATCTTCTGATGATGACGTGCGTAGCTCTTCTACCATGGGGACAAGAAAATTGAAACCCAAGTGCTTAAACATTGATTCTAGCTCTACTGAACTCACTCCTGCAACTGAGTCAACCAAGAAGGAAACTAGTCAAAAGAGTAACCCTGGATCCAGGTTGAGAGGAAATTTCAGCACCAAAACCACAACTCCAAGACCTTCTCTAGACAGTGGGAATCGTAGGTCAGTTAGAAAATCTGAGAAGCCAAGTAGGCAAGAGCCTATTAAGGGCATGGGCAAGAGGGAGGGAAGGAAATCTGATGTTAAAGAAGGCAAGTGATTGTACATCAAAATTTATGTTATGATATCCTATGATACATTTCCAGTTCAGTTAGTCTAACACTTGTCGAATTCTTTTTTTCTTCTCAGTTACTGCTGCCACAGCAAAGGGAAACAAAGAAAATATGGTAAATGGCTTTATTAAAGAAGTATAGTTTTTTATAAGCTGAAGCAGTAAAATACATAGCTGATGGTTTTTGGCTCTTCTCTTGTAGGACGCTCACACCACTGAAGATATCAGTGTGACAGGAGTCATGTAAACAATCCAATTGAGCTTTGCATCTTTGAATTTTTGTGGTTCCCAACTTGAAATCTGTCTTGGGTGTTCTCTATGTGTAGCGTGTTTTTTTGTATAGACTGCATTTCTTTTCGTTTGGTCAGTTGGCATATTTTGTGTTTTTGTCCTGTTATTATACAGTTGCTAAGCAAACCATGCTGTATTGAATGTTTTTGTTTGTGTCTATAGATGATTCCATAATATTTGTGAGGAGATTTATTCGGCACTCTTTCTCTGTTAATTATTTCATCTCGTAAACGTATTTGAATCTATTTTATGATCTTTTATGTTAAATAATATGTCAATTATGATAAGTGTGGGCTAGATTTAAATCAAGTTTTGGTCTCTTAAAAAAATTCACGATTTTTTCGATTTGGTTCTTTTTGAATTTTTTTCAATCTAGTCTTTTAAATTATTATTTTTTATTTTATTAACCTCTCTGTTAGTAATTTATTAATTCATGATTGAATTGAAATATAACATGAACAAGATGTTTTATTAATAATATTTTATTTTTTATATTTTAAAAAAAATAACTTGTCATGACTTTCTAAAATTAAGATTTAAAAATATAAAGAAAATGAGATCCTAGATGTCACAACATTATTCACATTGAAATTATTTCATATTATATCAGTCGGACGTTATAAGCATATACTATATGAAGCCAACAAATTAATGAAAACATTAGAAAAATAAAAAAGGATTTGGAGACACTTGTTTAAAGAATATATTAGAAACAAGAAATCAAATGAAAAAATTGCTAAATTTTCAGAGAATTAAAACCTTAACCTGTTCATATATGTTGACATTGTTACATAATAAGCTTAATCTGTAAATATCATCAATATATACTAAAAAAAGATTTAAAATTAAAAAAATTAAGCATTTTATGTCTTTCTATCGTCCATATCCGTTAGTACTTCAGTTTTTTAAATTAATTTTTAAAATAGCAAGATTATTATTATTAGTGTTTTTAACGTAAATAAAAGAATTTAAAATGTATATTACATGTATGCTGTTATTTGCATTCGTTTACATTTTTATCTTAATTTTATTATAAAAAAAGTCAACTTTAATTCATTTTTTAAAACTTTTGCATGAAGTTTAAACAAAAGTTAATTTATTCATTAGGCTTTTATTTATAGTAACATTGAAGTCTTCAGTTGAATTTTTGAAAACTTTTTATATAGAAGTTGATTAAATATAACTGACTCTTAGAACAAAAATTGATTTTAATATATTTTTGTTTAAAATAGAAGTTAATTTTAACAAATTTTAGTGTAAAATAAAAGTTGATTAAAATATATTCAATACAGACTAACTTATTTGTTCACTATAAATAGACATCAACAGTTTTAACTTACGTTTATATTCAAAAAATTCTGAGATTGAATGTAAAAATTTTAGTGAGATAAAAGAGAGTTAAATTTATGTACTTATATATTATAACAGTGAAATTATAAATACAATGAAAGAAGGAACATTTTATAGTGATAATCAAACTTAGTTGGTTATCTATCCACTAATTACTTTGCCAAAATATCCTCCAAAATAATTGTACATTCTCTATATAGAAGATAGAATGTATGTAACTTACCTCTCTAACACTCCATAAATGCACTAATGAATGTCTTATCATAATCAAATATTAGTATCATATACACAACATGCCAAAAACCACTTTGCCTAAGAAATAATTTTATCTAGATTAAAAATAATTTTATCCTCGAATCTAGAGTGGCCATCATATTATAGCAATCTACTTTTTAGAAATGGTTGTCTTATATGGTAAAAAAAGAATTTTTTTTAAGGTATTATTTACCAAAACTAAAAATTACATCAAAATATTACTTATTATTTTGTTCATATCCAATATGAAATTTAAATAAATACATTGCAACAAAATTAAATTTAAATTAACCACCGCACAAAGATATAAAATCCATTAAAATAAATAAATAAATAAATTACTACAATTCAAAACATTAGATAAAACTCTCGAAATAACAACTAATATTGTTCAATCATTTTTAAATCATAATTCTAGACAGCCTAGTTTATCATGACCTGAATTGATCAGTGATTTTTCCCCTTCTGCAAAATTTGCTTCAGTCTGTAAATTAGGGTATCAAATACATAAATGCAAGAACCCGTTACACGCTAGTTTCACATGAAAATATCGAAAACAGCATAAAAAAAAAAATCCTGCTACTTGCTGGCTCGATAATTCCCCAATATTGGGCAGATAAGTTCACAATCACAGTGGATGGCTATAACGATCGCAAAGGGACAGAAAGAGTGAGATATTCATGATTCAATTCGAGCAAATTTTCGAAAACCTTTGTGATTATAACCAATTCAGCAAACTACAATTTTTATATTGAACCATGTTGACAACAATCCAAAGTAAACTGACACGCATGATTCTATTTTACATTAACTGACATGTGCAATGCAAAAGCTACAATAAATTTAAGATAAGATGATGCTACAATTCATATAAGCAAGGAATATAAATTTGATGAGTTTGCACAATCATTTTTAAAAGGTGCCACTGCAACCTAATCCATGCCATCAAAGCTGCAGACAGACTTAATTGACACACATGCACGAGGATGAACTTAATCAGCTGTCCAACTCTGCTCCACAATTTCCCTCACTCTTCGATTGTACTCACGCTTGTTCTCACTAAACATTCGAGCTGCTTCAGAGTTTGCAGGAGAATTTGGGTTGGGATCGCAAAGCAATGACTGCAAGAGGAATAACTATCTTTTAGAAAATATTTATAACATGAAGCCTACTAAATATCAGGATATATGCTAGATCTATTTATATTTCCGGGAAAAAAAGTGCCAGACTTCCAAATGCAATGATGTGCTTATGTCAAACTACTTTAAAATGGCCATTTGGTTATGCATAATGTTGCTGGTGTCGTGAGTTTGCTTCTAAGATCAGTAGGAGGAAGCTAAGCAAACTGGGTACCCTAAAGTGTGTGAAGAGAAAAATGCAATGGCATAAAATACTGGAGTCACAGCCCAGTCACATGCACCACCCACTTAAGCACAAAGAATCCATATGCTAAGCACCTTATATCCCTCCTACTTCCCAGAGCCTCTGCAACGGACAGAGAAAAAGACTTCTGAATTGAACAGATATATATTGACCAATCACCAAATAGCCACACAACTTACCCAAAATTGCCAAGCTACCTCAGTGAAAACAGGGGTGACTACTTGTTTCATGACTTCTGAAGAACATAACAGAAAATAACTAAAGAGGTGTGTGTATCTGTAACAAATTATTTGTATTTAATCTTATCGAGTATACAAGCGTCAATCTCAGAGAGGAGTTGGACATTCCAAAAAAAAGTTATTCAGGAAGCATTTGACCAAGATTTTCTTCAATTTCAAGGCTACTGACAAGTTAAAAATAACACCTTAAAATAAAGCTAATGTTAGGTAGTTTTATATTTTTTAAGCTTAAACCTCTATAACCAAACCTCAAGAAACTTCTCTGCTAACACATCCAAACCCCTGCCCTCAACCAGCAACTTTGCTAGATCCCACACAAGTACATGGTCACTGTTGTGTGAACCAAGATTCATCACCATGCTGAAACCTTACTAACAAAGCTGGTTACCACCAGAGAGCTGTTGAGAATGATCAACAAGACCAATTCCAGTTGCTGAACTGCCCATAACAACCATGGATGACCCATGTCCATTGCTTGTTGGAGCCAAGCCCAGCTGCAGAACCAAAGCAGCAACTTTGTGAGTCATAAATGACATTGCTTGTAGAAAACTTGCTGCACGATTAGGATGTCATGTTCTTGGGGTCAACATTGAAGAGGAAAGACTGCAAGAGTGTTGTCAAAATAGAGGAATAGAAGCTCACCCAATTAGCTGAAGCTCCATTTTTAGTTTTTCTTTAAAAAAAAAATTAGAGCTTTTCTAAAATTGTGCTCGGCCCAGCTTCTCCTTTTAAAAGAAGAGAAGCCTGCAGTAAAGTACCGTATGAAAGGTTACTGCAGTGTGCAGATAGGGAGATAGCAAAAATTACTGTTATGGCAGATATCCAAGGAGATTTCCCCAGGTTTTTTGACCTAAGGTGCATAAGAGGGAAACTATTTCTATCGCTGGGTCAAGTTCAACATATGTACTCATATGGGTAAAAAGTGAAGTTATGACTGAAATTCATATTCATATTAAAGTTTTTCCCTCCTTAAAATACAGGATCACGACTTCCAATTGACATATCAATGAGGAAATGGTAAGCAAGGTTCACAATTTCCTTATTTTAAAAAGAAACAGTAAACCGCATGAAAGGCAAATAATGTTGAACTTGACATGAAAAGGAATTTGGGAATCTCGTTTCTGAGTTTCTCTAGTTGTGAATGATGTTTACAAGTTCACTGTTGAATTTACCAATCTAAGTCAGGGAGGGAAATAATCACCACATTTGTGCCCCTGCCCCCAAGTCAAAAGAAAAAGGATATGGGAGGTTTCTTATCCTTACGGGGAAGGGATGCAGAGAAATTTTCCCATGTTTAATAAATAAGGCCAGCAGTGGGGGTCACAATCTCCAACTCCCAAGCAGCCATCGAGTATAATACAAAAAATATCTTTTAGTTTAGAAACACACATCAGTAATTTCAATTGGAAATTTAAATTCGAACTGAAAACCATTAAATTTCTTTTAGAATTTGATGTCATTCCATTTTCTTGTAATTTGTTATTTGGCAGGAACAGTTCTGCAATTCTGTAATTTTCTTTTACTGGATAATGTTGAGGTTTGCAATACTTCATTTTTCCAATTTTCTCTTTCTTTTTGTTTAGTCATTTTTTGGGTTTCAGTACTGAATATAGTATGGTGCATGGATAGCCAAGGATCACCACTTTCCTAATAGCAATGGGGGATGATGGAGACAATTTTCTCCCGTGGCAAGGAAATGGGTGAAGAAGACAGGCAACAAATCTACTAGTGGGGTAAGGCAGCCCTTCCCATCCCTGCCAATTGACATCCTAATTGTTGTCGTCATGTTAACAAATCTCAGCTGTTAATTATAATGAAAAAAGTTTATCGATGGATGAGAAAAAAGTTATAAACTATCTGTTCCTTTTTTCATCTCCTGTGTCTTCCTCCAGCAGTTCTCAGTTCCATCTCATCACCCAATGGTTGAGAATAATCAATATTGATTAAGACTTTTCTTTTGTCTTTCACCTTTTTTTCATTTCTCTCCTCTTCCTCCACTGTATTCACTCCCTCCATTTTCTTCCACAAATTTACGCATCCATTAAGAGGAAAATATCCTATTATCATTGATGATTTCGCAACCAAAGATCAATGAAAAACTTTTTCAGACTATTGAACTTTGGAGCATACAAAAGCTAATAACGACAACTTCTTGAACCATCAATTCTCTTGCAAATTCATCACAATTAAACTGATAAGTATGGCTGCGGGCCAAACACTTTGCTCTGGCATCCCATGTGCTAGGCTAACAAAGGTTTGTTTAGTTTTTCCGAACCAGCTCACTTATATATGTTTGTCCAGTTGCTACTATAAACAGTTCAATGACATTCCTAGATTTGATGAATCTTTTCTTGTGTTAATTCCAAAATTGAGATTCAAAAAATTTGTTTGACACTTTCAACTCAAAGAATTCTCAAAATAATTGTCCAAGTACTTAATTAAATTAACAAAGACGAGAAAAGAGGAAGCTACTGATGGTGCCGTAACCATAACAGAGCATGGGGAAGAGATGTCATGCTGAAGGAATTCTTCTAATAATTGTTCTAGTTATGTCAAAATAATCATTCTTCCACACCTGCTGTGTAACAACCAAAGCTTTCATTAGTGATCCAAGCAACAGGGGGATCATGATAACAGAAAAGAACTAAGATTCAATATCTGAAGTGATGACGGAGGATGAGAAACAAGGATTTAGCCTTTTGGGTATGTGGGAAAGGCAGTTGCCTTCATGAATGTGATCGTTGGAGAGTTGAGTGATGGAGATGAGAATTTAGAATTGATGGGAGAAAGACAAGGGAGAAAGAAAAGGTAAGGGATAGAGTCTTTCATTTCACCACTTCTTTCCATTCTCATGAGTTGATAAGCTTTTCATTATAATTAACAGTTGAGATTTGTTAACATGACCCCTCATGTTAGAGGATTCACTCCATAACAGCTTGGGCTTTTAGGAGAGTTGGTCCTTCACATATTCAAGGGAGAAGGTACATACAGTGCCTTACATATTACAATTTATAAATTTAATTTCATTTGTCAATTGTAACTTGTGCATTTTTAATTGAAATTTGAGTAAATGTTGGCTATGATTTTGAGATTGTTTTGCTTATTTACATGTTTTTAATTTATATGTATCTATTCTTAGCTCACTAAAGGTACCAGTAAAGAGAGTGAATGACATGACTTTTAATTTAGTAAAAAGGTAGACCAAGTAGAAATTTAAAGAAAATTATTAAAAGAGATTACTAATAAATAATATTCTTGAGAATTTAGTTTTTGACCAAACTCAATGACCTTGAACTTGACCTCACCTAGTGGAATAAGGCTTGACTGTTGTTATTTGTTTTGCTTATTTATGTTACTTTATGCATATACATATTTATTTAACTAAAATTTAGCATATAAGGTAGGATCTTACAATGTGTTACCATCCTACATTTGACATGTTTTTCTCCCCCTCCCGATTCTAGGTGAGATCTCAATTTTGGAAGCCTTGACAACCATGTTTCTAGTTTCAATGTTGCTAAATCCCTCCTTTTTAAGCTGTCTCTAGTAAACATCCATTTCCTTCCAATCTTTAATTTCAATAATGAGGGTATTGAATGTGCCAAATGATAAATTTATTGTCACAGTGAAATCATGATTATACCATAATGTATGCAAAAACAGTCATATGCAAAAACAGTCATTGATAACTATGTTTATCCAATCCATGGTTATCAATAGCAATGCTATAGCAGTATAGCAGGGAGAAGTGGCCATGGGTCACTGCAAAGTTTGAAGACCACTGGATTTTCAAATAGCAGCCGTAATTGTGGCTAAAATAGCAGCCATAAGAACTAGAATGAAAAATTAAAAAGCAAAAGTCATTTTTTCCCTCAAAACATAGTTTGTTTTGAGGATATTTTTAGTAGCAACATTGATATTACCCTTCCCCTTTCCAGAATTTAAGAAATTCCTATTTGGATGTAGTTTCCCATACTTTTGTCTTTCATGCAACATCCACACTACAACCAGTAACATCATTTTGTTTGTTTCCTTGACTTTCATTGTTACTTGTATGTTTTGCTTGCTTAAGACCTATGACATTTTACTGTTATGAATTTTAATTATTTTTTAATTTTATCATATATATATATATATATATATATATATAAAACAAATTTATATGTAAAATCTGAATAGCTATTATCCTACTATAGCATTTTTTGGGTTGGTTGCCTCATGTGATCCAAGGTTGATGCATGTGCTCATCTAAATCTAGTGACCATGTCAATGGAAGATGACAAACGAAACTAGAACAATCTCCAACATTTGTTTCATACCAGCCTGTGGTATCTCAATGTACTGAAGTTCTTACAAGAATTTACTTCATTGAGTTCATTTAATGTGGAATTGTAGATGAAACATAGATCTGAGATCATCCATAATTTATATTGACAATTATAGCAGCTAAAAACTAGTTTAGCAATATTTTCATCTATATATAAGTAATTCTACCATTACGGATTGGTATCAAATATAAATCTATACATTATTTGTAATTTGTCAATATGCTATTAGCAGATGACCAGTTAAGTGTAACTGCTTCAGTATGCCACCTATACCACAGTATCAACAGAGCACTATTCCACTGTTTGCATGCTATCCACAGTCATGAAGAATTTTGCATGTCATAAACTTGGCAATGTACTGTAAATGAAGGATAAAAAAGGGCCATGCTGCCATATGAATATAGCAAAAGGGAATAATGAAAATTAAAGCATTGAAGAAAATTAGTCAAATTCTACACTTTTAACAGTCAGTTGATAGTCAATGTGATCAGCCTCTCCAAATGGATATGAAAGGATAGACACAAGATTCACATCTGTAAAAACTGACTGAGTAAAGACATGATTGAATCATAATCTTTTGAAATGTCAAGTTCAGAATTGAGTACTCCAAAATACTTCGTTGAAGAACAACGGTGGAGCAGAGAAAAACCAAGTTGAAATTACAAGTGAACCAAGGCTTTGTCAACAGACACAGAGGCACGTTTTGCAATACAGGGCTATCCTAACTGATAGGTGTCAACTCTAAAGACCAAAAGCCATAACTAAGAAGCAGAGTTACAGTATTTCATTTCAATTTGTGCAGAACATAAGTTACATAACAGTGTGACACTAAAGACTAAAATGAAAATGACTTCAATGACACGGAAAAATAGTAACATTTGGAGATTGAAAGAAAATAAAACTTCTAGGAATAGACTAAATGATGTACAGAATATCTACTTGTTTAGTTCATTTGGAAAATATACAAACAAAATGCAGATATGCTTGATTAATGAATATAAATACTAGATGATACCTGGATAGATGTGAGTATAGCAGCCACATCATATATAGGACTCCACTGATTTTGTAAGATATCCAGACAAATACTTCCATCTGCATAAACTACACAAAAGTTGAACAAATGACATTAGAGCTATACAGAGCTAATTTATTGATAACAAGATAAAGAGTTATAATCTAAAACTTACTATTTGGATGAAACATGCGAGACACAAATCTTACAGTTGGTGGTTTATTTGGATAATCCTCAGTAAATTGGAGCGTCAACTTGAACGTGCCTGAATAACTCAATATGCAATTATGTAAATATAACCAGTTCCATGGTAATATCAAGAGCCAGCAAATATGTCTAGCACCCTAGATAGTGTAGATACAATCTCTAGTAGGTGCAGCTATTCAGAGTAACAAGACAACATAATAGACAAGAGTTAGAATTGAGAGAGACTTGTGTGTTGGGGGGGGGGGGGGGGCGACGGCGGGGGGAGAGAGGAGAGGAAACCATAAAACTACAGGTACATGCTAGTGCAGAAAAATTCAAATTTAAGATAACCTAGGTACCAATCAAGCTTCTCAAAATCATTTTGAGAATGGACAAGATTTGACACTCTTCACAACATAAATCAGATATCCCCATCTACCACATAAGCTCAAATACAACACACTGTTACATTTCATGACCAACTGACACTTGGCACATGTTTCAAAATTGTTTTATAATAAAAGCTTTGGCCCAGGAATTCACTCACCTCCATCCCATGGAGTATCATCAGGACTGCAATCCAAAGCAGACAACAAAGCAGAAATTGCTTATCCATCAATAATAATTAAACAGAGTGAGAAATAAAAAAATGAAGTGACAATATTATATATGAGTTATAAACGTAAAATAACATTGGATCTATATCCAATTTCCATTCAACTCACCCAAATATGACGGCATTCCACAGCATTATATTGTTATCCTGCGGGGCACCACTGATTCCTGCAGGCGGGTCTTGTTGCAACCTCTTAAAATCTCTCATCAGCCTCTTCCTAGCAGGAGTCGACATTGTCACCACCTAGAAAAACCAACACCCACAGAAAACACATCAGCAGAGGGTCGAATCAATTGGGTGCTTATATATATATATATATGACTAAAATTCATTCAATGAGCACGTATAATTACACAAAAAAAATAAATTAATAGATTTACACAATCTTACAGGACTGGCATTAGAAAACCTAGACAATAAGGGGAAAAAGTGGGAACTTTAAAACTATATATATATATAAAACGTCAAATGAACCCGAGAATTATTAATCACCCACTAATATCATACCAGAACTTTAGGAAGCCCCAAAATTACAAACAAGGTGAAAATTTTCAAAGGAACAAAAAGAATAAAAAAAATTAGGGCTTCGACGTAGATCGTCCCTCCTTATCTGTCTCTAATCATCACGGTACAGGACACCAAGCATGTAATTGAAAAGTCGAACGAAAAAGATAAAAATAAAAAAGAAAGGAAATTGAATTGAATAGCAAAAGGAAAAGGAAAATTGGCTGACCAGGAAGGGATTGAAAAGGGTGATAGAGGGTTATGGCTCCAATTGAGGTTAGCGTGGCGACAATGATATGAGAATCATGAAACGGAAGAGGGAGAGAGGGTTATGATTACTGATTATGGGGTAGAAGCAGGATGTTATTTATCGTTGCCTTTGTTTGATTCAAAGTTAAATCAAAACAAAAAAAGGGATGTGGTGTGGTGTGATGTTGTCGGCTTCGAACAATAATGGGTTGGGTCGGGTTGGGTTCGCTGGCCGTTTAAACGCTTTTCTACTCCGAAGAATAATGCTTTGCTTTGTTTTTATTCACACTTCACTACATAAAATAATCACATTTTTTAGGATTTTTGTTGTTTTTTTTCTTCCTTTTTATAACTTTTTCTTAATTAAGTCACTTTTTTTTATGACAAACGTGGCAAAAGTAAAACAAATATATATATATATATATATATATATATATAATCATCTTAAAATAATTAATTCCATGATCATCTTCTCTAAGTACAAAAGTAAACTGGAGAGAGAATTATAAAATATCACTTGAAAACTTGATAAGTTTGATTTGCAACAAAATTTACACACCAGTTAAATATTTTCTATAGACATAATATAAGCTAACTATTAAAAATTTAATTTCCCTAATAATAGAATTTAATTGATGACTCAAATTAACTTGAGATTTAACTAAATAAATTGCAAGTTTGAAATCTATTTTAATTAAAATTCTTTTCAATTGCAAATTCTTGAATAGTCGAAGTCTCCAAAATAAAACCCACAATTGTCCAGATTTTTGACAAAACCAACCTTGATCATCTTTAATCAACTCTCCACAAGTAGCCTTTTCAAGAGAGGAACGAAGGAACCATCTACATTTAATTTGAAATGATGAAAAGGAGGATAATGTCACCTTACCAAGATTTCTTACCTATTTTACGACACTTTTATTTTTTTTTAAGGATTAATGACATTTTACTCAATCAAAATATTTATTATTTTTTTATAAAATAAAATTTAACTCGGTCAATTTTTAAAGATAAAAATCTAACATTTCAATGGAAGGACAAAACTTCAATGACATTTTTATACAACTCAAAAATTATATATATACAAAAGTTTAACATGAAACTTAAAATACAAATTTATAATCTCAACAATTATATTTCTTGAAAACTGTAATTAAATAGTCTATATCAACCGCTAAGACTTAGGCAAACAAAATAAATGAAGCTACAATTCTTTCAAAAAGCATACTAAACTCCAAATATCTCTCAATTAGGCCCTCTAACATAAGAAGTAGATGCATTACCTATCATACCTGCTTACGCATCACTATATGATCATCGCAATACACACATCAATATAGAGAAAATACAAGGGTAAGCTTATATATCTAAGAGTCATAATTATAGGGTACAAAATACAATATAAGTATTTACACAACTTTGATAAATCTCAGCAAAACAATGCAACGACTATAGCTAATTATCAGCTTATTTAATGCAATAGCTCAATTCTAACTGGTTTCACAGTTTAAGTAATCGAGAAGGAACTGTTTTCAGTTTGGGAGCGACTCATCCTGATAATTGGATCTAGACATAGCACAACTCAATATTTTTCTCATCATTACATGTCTACCCACTTAAACATGTAACTCGGCTCTTGAATAACAAAAATTATTTTCATTTCTACATGATACAACACAGCCACAGTTATATATATATATATATATATATATATATATATATTCTAGTATAAAAATATTAGAGAATTTCATAAATCAGCTATATATATATATATATATATATATATATATATATATATAGTATTCTACCCTAAGGTTTACCCATAAATTGATTCATTCTCAGCTACATCAAGATTTGTATACAAGTGCTTCTGTTACCTTAGTGGAAAATAATGATAACTTAGAATAAGCTCCCTATACCTAAGGTAAATGTTTCAGACTATTCTACTATTGAGTCTCAAAAGAGAAACACGTCATTTAGATGAAAGAATGTGGCCCGAATGACTTGGATCACCTTAGTACTATAAGGTAAAAACTCTTTAAGAGAGAGAAAACAAAGAATAAGGAAAGAAGTTGGAGAACTAAGCTCTGGAACTTACTTAAATCGGAATGAAATGAACGTTCACGCTTGGCTTTAGAAGAGGTTTGGGCTCCGAGAGGATTTTCTCTAAGAAGGGAGGGTGGGTGAACAAAGAGAAAGCAAGAGGGGAAAGTGATTTGGTGAGAAATGAATATTTTCTGCATTGAGGTTTCTTAAATACCCTTCTAAATCTACATGCTTTCGCTTAAGAGAGCCAACCATTACTTGAGCGAGCTCTACTCTCGTCTGAGCAAAAGCATCCTCGTCTGAGTGAGAAACCATATAGTGGCATTTATCTAGATTTTTGCTATTCTTGCTTGAGCGAGTGACATCTCGCTTGAGGGAAAGGCATACTCGCCTGGGCAAGAATGGGTCCAGAGAGTTCCCCATTTTTTGTACGACTTCTTGCTTAAGTGATGTTACTTCCTACTTAAGTGAGATCTTTTCTTGCTTGGGCAAGAGGACAGTTGGGACAATCTTATCCTATCTCGCTTGAGTGAGACTAATATCGCTTAAGAAAGATCACTCTAGAATGCCTAATTCAACATGACTTAGTCTCGCTTGAGCGAGAAATCCTATACTAGATGTAACATCCTAAAATTTTAGTCTTGAACTGCACACTTTATTATTTTCAAAATCGAGATAAAATGCGGACTTTTCATGTATAGCAGGCAATATAAATATGAGTAAATAAAAATCTTTTGTGAATAAAAATATTTAAATTTTTTTCCAAAGAGACAATATCAAATAAATAAAAAGTAAATTTAAAGATCATAGTAGACCGGATAAAGTCTACAAATATGGGTGTTAAACCTGCATTTACATATAATAAATATAATAATTTAAAAACTGTTTATCAAAATGTGTGGCTCCTAAGATAATAATTACATAGCCAAAATAAACAAACTCCAAAAGCAGTCCAAAAAATATCCAAACACTGAGGACCTGGTGCTAATCATCGTCATATCATCCTTTTATCACTGCTAAATCCTTTGAATCAAGGTCATCATCTGATCCAAGATAGAGGTATCCCAAATCAGCCGCAACCTCAACCCTCAAAACTCGCTCATAAGTAAATCAGGTTGGCCTTCTAAGATGGTTGTAATCATGGTATGTGCACAGGTATGTCATGGTCCTAATTGTATCTCTATAAATAAAGAAATATGTATATATATATATAGTAGATTCTATTATTTATAGGAAAATCAAAAGAGATGCCATAATATAGTTCCATCTCCAAAATAACAATATGTCTAGGTATATGGTCAACATGTATAGCCAACTTAAAATAACATGTCTTCTGATATTCATTAAATACATAATTAAGTTTACACTGCACAGAGCTATTTATTAGCCTAACTCTTTCCTGAGGTGCCGTTGACATCCACGTCGTAATGGTATCAAAACTAAGCTAGATTCCTCAAACAAACATGCAGTTTAGGGAGCAACCTAGGTCATTTCTCACAAGGATGCAAATGCATATTGTTTCAATATCAATTATGCAGAAGAGGTTGTATGTTTGGGGGGAGTTTCGTGATTAATTCAAACAAAAAATGTAGAGAATTAAATCGTGAACAACAAAGGCAAATCGAATTAACAATGAAACATAAATTGTGATGCAAGTAAAATAAATTACAATCAAACCAAAAATAAGATTAGAAATCGAGAATGAGAAATTGAGAATGAAAATCGAAAAACACAAACACACAATTCAAGATCCAAAACACAAACATAAACGTGAATTAATTATACCGAATTTGCTTAAATCTCTTATGCACAACAAATCAACTAATCAATTATTTGTCATACAATCAAGAAAAAGAGGCACAACTCAATTGAATTATACTTCCTATGCAATCGCAAAATGTAAGGTCAGAAAACAAACTCAGAGCAATCAATTTATCTTCCAATTCTTGTTTGAGCAAGTGCAATCCAGAACTTGGTAAAACAAGTGAGAGCGAAATGTGAAAGAAAACAACTCAAAATTGTAGAATTCTAAACATCTTTCAACCATAAATGCAGAGCAAGATGCAATGGAATTCCAAAAGGTGCAAGAGAATGAGAATGGGTAAACAAAATAAGAGGTTTCTTGGAAGCGGAAAAGTTTACAAAACTGAAAAAACAAAAAAAATGAACTAAGTGTGCTTCCAAATCAGCCCCTGACCTCTTTAAATAGTAGTCCTAAATGAATAAAAATGAATGGGCCAGGGTTGGGCCGAAAATAAATACAACAAAACTGCAAAAACAAAAGCAATACAAAATTAATACAAAAGTCAAGCTAAAAGTATGAACTTCTAAAATTCATAGAAAATAGCTCCAAACTCCAAACAACATGATCCATATGTCCAAATTGAAGTCTCAGAAGTAAGGAATCCAATGCAAAAAGAATTAGCTAAAAAAGATATCTATAGAAAAAGTTATGGCCAAATTAGTGAATAAAGGTCAGAATAGAAAACATGAAAAAAAAATGAGTATTTACAAAAGTTCCTAATTAATGTGGGAAATGCAAAAACACACTAATGGAAGAAATAAGGAAATGAAAAGATATCTAAAGGATGCAATAAGACTATAAATATGGGAACAAAATATGAGTCATCAAATACCCCCACACTTAAGCTTTTGCACTCTCAAGCAAAAGAATAGAGAAGGAATCAATGCAAAGCAAAATTTTTCAATGGATCCCAAAGTGTAAGTAACGTGAGCAAGAAAAATGAGTCCATCAATCAAAGTATGAAAGAATAAAAAACAATCAAGAATGTGCTTCAAACATTAAAAGTAAAGAAGAGTTTCAATCTAATTAAATTATGGATCACAATCGGTAAAATTCTCACAAGGATGTGTATCACTCCCTCTCTCAAGTGTTTAGGCAAGTAATTTCACTCAAAGCACATCATGAATGTAAGCATTACCATAGACTTGAAGAGCCTGTAATTTCTACCATTTAAAACACATGCACCAAAGATCAATAGGACTTTTATTAAGCTTGTAATGTGAATAAGGTAAAGGTAAGATAAAAAAAAGTGTACAAAGCTAAAAACCAAAGAGAAAAGAAGAGCAATGGAGAATGGGTTAAAAACAAGTAAAAATACCTAAAAACCAGCAACACACATTTATTTAAACATTATATAATTTTTTTTATATTTTTCATTTATTTTATTTTATTTTATTTATAT